AAATTTCTTGGACTAATATGAAAGTAAACATTAAAGTGATATTTATATTTAAGTTTTATCTATTCCTTAAGTCTTACGAATATTTTCAATAGTAACAGAAAGTTTGCAACTGGTTTTTTTTTAAATCGTGCTGTGATTGGGATTCGACCCACCGGCTTGCAAGCGGGAGTGACAAAACAACGTTTTTAGATCACTAGGTCAGAGAGTTGTTTCCCTGAGGAAAGTGTCAAAGATTTTACTTGATGCGGTAACATCTTGTCCCCAGAATGCCATTATTTAAGATGTCATGGTGACTAGTTTTAAAGTCAAGACTACATCGTTCATGGATACAAAACCAGTCCGAGTTTTACATTCAAATTTTAGGGAATAATATTGTTTCAAACAAATGTTAAATAAAGCATCCCAGACGAGCCTCAATCTGACGAACATGTAAAGGTCGAACAGAAAGATGCAAAGACATCAGAAAACCCGCGACAACCTGCAAGTAATGCTGGATTATAATTTATATGGACATTTTAAAACAAATATTACAAGTTTAGTATCTTTATTTACTCTCTATCTGTTCTCAAAACTCATATTTAACTTATTATGGTGTAGACATTGCATAATTAACGCATCATTTTGGGTTTTATCATGTTTATGTCGATTGCAAATATGCAATGAGAATATCAATATCATTAGAAACACAAGAATCAAGTCCTCTATTATGGAGTAAGAAGCCTTAACATTTCGTGTTATTTCTATGGCTTCATTTGTTTAATTAGAAAACATTCATTAAAGATACATGTATCGCCTACAGAGTAGGAGATTTTCATGATGTTTGTTTTGCAAGGTAGTTCAAATAAAACTGAAGTGAGTGCAGAAATTTCCATCTAAAATGACAAAAACGTCTTTCGCTAAACAGTTCATTATTGATTTTTTTTTTTTACAAATTGCATTTCTTAATAATAAACAAAAGATGTTGTTTTATTTCAATTTTTTTTTTGTAATTTAACGACAGATTGTGTCCAAAGAATCTTATACGTAACATATTGCATCGGCAGACGATTGAGCCTTTCATATTTTAACAACAAGAATAATATATTCCAATGCATAATATACCTTTCAATTCCATTGAATTTTGAATACATCGGGGAATAATAGATAAATGAGCCACAATTGTTATAAATGACAAAATGTCTTAAAGTGTATAAAGCTATTTATCCGATGCAAAAAACTATTGTTTGAATTTTAGAAAAGTATACTTCCAAAATGCTTGTATGAAGTAAATATGGAAGTTTATTGCCTTAAAAGCGAATGGCTCATCCACAACATTATTGCTAAACAGATAGCACTCTACTTAAAATTGCAAAATAATATTTTGTTCCGGAACGTTTTATTCTGTTTACGTACATTATTCATGTTCATTAAATAATAGGGACAAATCTATGTAACAACTTTTTAGGGAATCAACTATATGAAAATCGAATCAATATAATTTTACTGTTGATAAATCTTATTAAAATACTACATAAGATATAACTGAACCCTTTTATGTGTTCTCAACTTCTGAAGTGTTAAATAAAATAAGAAAAAAAAAACACAACATATTGTACAAGCGTGCAAATATACAAATGTCATACAAAATTGTAAAAGTTTTTTTTTCAAACTATTCTAATTCTTTGTGTACTAAATATTATACGTTTTGATGAGAAACATTTTTTATTACAATTTCAATAAAACCGTGCGTGTTTTCATATCAACATGACATTTATTTCATTTGCTACCCGTACTAAAATATTATGAACGTTCAGGCCGACAAGTAATGCCAACAAACACTTGTGAATAAGGAAACTATTTTGTGAATCAAGTAAGAAACAAAGCCAAATCAAACTCACTACTTTTACAGCTTTTACTGGGAGCAAAACAAATTTCGCTTGAGTGACACATCCTGCCAACTGAAAACAAGTCGGCTTATTGATGATCCTTCGACAATGCTAACTCTGATTAAGGGAGTATAAGTATAGAAAATGATATTGGATATTTTGTTACATCTGCCTTACGTAACGCTAAGCTTCTCAAACAAGAACTGGTGCTTTAAATACTCTACTGCGTTTGAACTGAAATGCAAGTGTTTCTGTTTTTACAGTATTGGACATTATGCTTCCTTGTTTTGATTCATATTTGGCAATTTTTACCTGGATTTGTTAAAAACGGTTTGTGCATCTATAGAATATGAAAGTAATTAAAAAAGCATTTAATTTATTTTTGTATCTTTTTCATATCAATACTTAATATATTAAATACAAAAGTTACATGAAGTTCTTCAACAATTTTAAATCTAAGAAAATAAATTTGTCTATGTTTTTTTTTAAACTTACAACAAATAAACATTATAATCATTAAATGAAAAGGTGATCAGCGATCATACAATTTTATCAGATTTTTCTTTAAAAAATAGGCGGTTATGTTTAAACAACCTAGAATGTTATTTTGTTAAAATCAGAAATTACTTAATAGTCGACTTTAAGGAATAATAAACAATATTTTTGTCGATATTTTGTGGAATTACCTCTTTGTTAGTAATTATTTATAAATAGAAATTTAAATGCTAAAAAGTTGGGGAGAGTTGTACAAAAAACAAATAATGAATCTGTTAAAATACGAACATGAACAACCAGTATATTGGCAACTGCAAGCAACAATCCCCTTTAAATAATCTAATGAATATTAATATTAAGACAGAATATGGTAAATAAAAAATATTTTGCATATATAACGCCGAAAAAAGACGTTGTGTTTGAAATGAAAGATGTTGTTTTGATATGCTATTACGTTTTCAAATAAAACATATGCGATGTCTATAATCTACACACTTGTTATTTCAATTTTGAAAAATCATATTTGTACCTCTAAGAAAACATTGTTTTTTAATCATTTAAAAGTTAAATGCCAATTCATGAAAAGCATTAAAAGTCAACTTACAAAAAAAAAATATAGTATTTTTTCGAGAACATCTTAACAACAAAAATAACTATATAATAGTGTATTAAATAGCAGAAAATTTCCTTGTAAAAACTCTATCTAAAATTTCCGTAAGAATACGGAAACAGCATCACCTTTTATCCGTATATGAAATGTTTTAAAATCATTCGGTACATATATCTTTGTACCCTTTTAATGTTTTTGTTTATAATGTTAATGTTGAGCAAGTGACCAAAATACGCTTTACAAAATATCACGACAGTTAATTACAAAACTGTTCTTAAAGCCTTTTAAGTAACAAGTTCAAACGGACTTCATTTTTTATTTGCATTTTGCTGACAGGATATTTTGTAGGAAGACACTGAAGCCCTGTAGTCATACAGTAAATTATTTCATATTTCTGCCTTTTCAGCTATCCTTCTTTATCTAAGGGTCTAACTATTGATTGTTTTAAAGAAAACATTATGTATCGTATAATATTTTAGTTGCAAGTAAAACATTTGTTATTGAATCTGTTTGTTTATCTCAAATAAATGATAAAAGTCAATGAATAAAACTGTTGATAGACAGACTGAAATTATTTATGTCATGACATAACCTTTAAGACGGCTTTAAGATGTCCATGGATATATATTCGTACATATTATTTCAGGAATACTGTACTTTTTCAAAAAAAAAAATACTGTTTTAATGTTTGGGTAAATAATCATTTCAGAAATGTATTGAATCTAAGAAATGTTTAAAATTTGACGGGTCTGGTAGTGTCCAAAAAAAAGTATGCGTAAATTTTGGTCTTAAATTTAAAAAAGAAGTGACACAGCGCAATTCAACGAAACCAGGGTTTCAAGCTTCATCATCAAGCTAAGTGCCCTGGTGCATCAAGAAGCAAAATCAAACCAAATAAATATATAAGATTATTTATGCATTAAATTAAAAAGGGGGTTGTAAAATATATCACACATGAAAATATCAAATTAAGCATAAAGAATTTAAAGTTAACATAACAATGATTATAATGATAAATGGCAACACATTCAGCTACAAAGCATGAAATAAAGCAATATTGTTGCATGCAATTGCTGTACATATTTTGTTGCATAATGTGCCGAATTTCTCTTCGATAGTTTACCTTTAATAAATCAGTCATTCAAAGCATTCTAAATTGAATCGTTAATACAACCGACGAGTGAAGATCGTTAGTAGACATATTGAAAAATTTTAAACCTAATAATTGTATTCCTTGAACAAAAACTATATGGCATTACGACCCACACTCTCAAGTGTTCATGCATACAAATAAAAATAAAAACAACTAAAACTCAACAACAAGCTAAAGCAACAAAACGAAAGCAAGCAAATCTATTGAAATATATTAATACATGTTATGATCTTTGTTTAAGTTTTGGTACCCATGTTTCAATTAGGCTGTTTCAATCGCAAAAGTCTTAGTCTGCCCGATTTGAACAAAAGTTATTAAGTAATTAAAGTAAATCCAGGGGTAGCTGTTTCTACCTCGGCCTAATTGTTATTTTCTTCCTGACAAATGATCTCAAACATTGAGTCTATGGACATTTATTCCTCGCCACTTATTGACAAATCATATGGTTAAGGTTATCGGTCACTTTCAAATTGGTATCTTAAGGTTAGTTATCCAGAAAATTCCTTTAGATTGATTGATTGCAAAGATATGAACAAACTAAGTGTACATTGAACTAAAAAAAACAACTAATAACGTAACAAACAGTAAAACTCTTTTCAATGTCATTCGTTAGTTATTCTAAATTAATAATCAGTTCAAGTGGCGGCATTACCAAGAGAGACTTAAGAGAAGGACTAGTAATCTATGGACTGCTAACTACATGTGTTTAAACCGCGTCAGACGCAAGCGTTTGATATCTTTGAGCACATAACTTTACACTTTTTACTCACTACTGGTTGTGTGTCAGTTAACTAATAGCTTCCTTAATAATCAAACTTGAATAAATCCTGTTAAAAATCATCATAAAATAACTATTTGTCTTCCATTTTAGAACAGCGGCAAATCAAGCGATGTGGAGTTTCTCTAAAAAATGAAGAAATGACATTTAGACCGCACAGCATAATGGATATAAATTCATCAACACAATTTCAAATCAGCATCGATAACAGCGATTGTAACTTCAGTCTGTCGAACAATTCAGAATATGTCAATGGAATTCCACCGAACAAGGAAGCACTTGATATAACAAGATTTGTTGTGCAAAGAGTTTTGGTTCCTATTGTAACTTCTGTCGGGTTCTTTGGAAACATAATAAGCATACGAGTTTTGACTCACAGGTCAATGGTGTCGTCTACAAACTGCTATTTAACGGCTTTGTCAATATTTGACCTCTTGTACCTTATTTTGAGTTTTACCCTCAGTTTAAAGCATTATGAGCATGTGAACGTGCAAGATGTGTACAATTACTGGTATTATTACGGAAAGACTCTTACTGATATTTGTAGCAATGTTTCTGTCTGCCTTACTGTTACTTTTTCCTTAGAAAGGCTTATTGCAGTCTGTTATCCAATGAAAGGACGTGCTTTGTGTACACCCCAGCGCGCACGAATTATAACAGCTGTCGTTGTCATTTTGACTATTGCTTGTACAACACCAGAATTTTTTGAAGCCAGATTGGTTGAAGTTATTGAAATGAATGAAACCAAATACGAATTTGAAGAAACAGAAATGTTTTTGAGTGATGCTTATCAAGTTGGGTATTATAACTTTTTAGTGTTTACTTTTACTGTTTTACCACTGGTGCTTTTGTCAACGTTTAATGGAATTCTCGTAAAAGCTGTTGTGTCTGCTACTAGAATACGCAAACAGATGACATATACTTCTATGAAGCAGGATAGAAGCAGACGACAGAAAGAACAGAATCGGATAACTATAATGCTCATTGGAGTAGTGATAGTGTTTTTGATATGTCAGTTTCCAAATGCTGCCTTGATATCATATCATATATATCTGAACAAAACATCAACGAAACTAACCCCAACCGGACGGAATTACCTGCTTATTGCTGGAAATATTGTCAATATACTTGTTTTAATCAATTCCTCCATCAATTTCATTTTGTATTCTGTAATGAGTACAAAATTTAGAAGAGTGTGCCTTATAATTCTTTGTAACTGTGGTAAACGGAGTAAAGATACTGTTACTAAAACAGAAACAAGTTTGTACAACGGAAATATACCACTTCACTTCAGATCGCGCCGTTGTAATAACCGGGAGCAAAGGAACGGGAGAGAGCAAACACATGATCAGTCAAGACGCTCTGTCCGCTACCGGGACGAAACTAGAAATGGGCAATTTGCGATTAATTTTGATCGTCGAGATGGACGCTTAGAGTTAAACGTCACTCCATATGACAATCAAAATAATGAAGGACATGCGTTCACTCCGATATGTATCCGTCGGCATTACAAATGCAGACAGAACTGTTTACAGATTGGACAAGGTTGTGTACGGCCATCATATGGTCAAAGACAACCCAAAACTTGGGAAAAAGATAGCGAAAAATCAGAAAAGGAAGGCACGTCTGACATGTTTGAAATAAAACTTCTTTTGAGAAATGGTGCATCAATTTTACAAAACGGTAACCACCTTGATACAGTGCTATAATGCCAGATGTAAAGAGTTTGTATTTATTTGTATTTCTTTTGAAACATACATGTCAAACGTTTAACTGTCATGGTAATATAGTTTAGTGAAACGTATTGCGAAGAATATAAATACACCACAACTATTGTTGAACGGGTTTCTGTAATTTTGCTCCAATGTCTTGATGAAATTGATGTAAGTTACGTCAGTGTTTCTGTGCCAGTATTGAAATGCCTAAATGTATTTAAGATACAAAGATTATTAAAACTGTCATATTATAAAATTGTTGGTCATACTTGTAAATGCATTCTAAATATCATCAAAACAGTAATATTGAAACCTTAAATGATATGTCTTTAAGTTTTTTTTTCAATTATACTTAATTCTTAATTATTTCATGAAAGTCATTAATGTTTGTGGAGACTTATAATTATTTCAATTCGTTAGTCACGCTTATCAAGAGGCCAAATGTAATCGTTTTTTTTTAATTAATAACCATTAAATTTTAAACACATTAACAGAAGACGAATTGTTCGAAGCAGTCAATTCTTATATGATTTTGAATAAGTCGTATGACTCTCTCTGACGACTGAATTTGCAAGGCAATCATAAAAATACAAGTACTTCATAAAAATACATCAGCTTCGGGGCCCATTTTAACATTATTACATGTAGTTTTTTGCAAAATTTATTAAAATTTATTTTCGTCAAGTGAAAAGACAAATGACGGATTGTACAACATTCCGAACATGTAGATTGGAAAATATATGACAGCTTTATTAGATAATGAAATAATCCTACATGGACAACAAATCAAGAGATATTTAGAACTAAAAGTGATGTAGAGAAACAAATTTGCGCCGAAAACATGTTGTAAACTATAATAATTTGGTTTAAAACATTATCGCTGTTAGCTGGAAATGTTTTATTCCTTTCCATCGTTTACTTTTTAATTGCCAATTACGTTTTAAATTAATAAACATATTGACAACGGTTACTTTTCATGCATTACTATATCAGTATGATTGACATAATGTTGTATGCTAATGATACTCAAGCATTATATTATATTATTTATCAATACGCACATTTAAAGGAATGTTGTTTTTTCTCTTTCGGTATATTAAAAATACATGTTTATTGCCATACCAGGTAAATTTCATTTTAGACTGAAAGGTTAGTTTGTATGGCAATAACTGTATCATTATTAAATAGACGTGTTGTCTTTTAAAAGAATACTGTTCAGAAAGTCCTTTCTTCACCATTTCAAATCATAAATATATACGCTAGATTTCTGTAATCAAGTGTTGGGCTTTTGTTAGGATTTCGTTTTTCTATATTTTTCTAATTTGTCGTATATACATACATGTATAATCTTGCTTATTTATTCTTGATTTATCAACTTTACATATTTACCTCTCAGAATTAGAAGTACCTTTATATAACTGTTAACTAAGTAAGAGATTGTTCTAAACCATTTCAATAAAATCGTTAAATAATCAAAATGTAAGAATAACAATTTTAGAATTAAAGAATATTGTCATTAATACCTTAGACAACATAAAAGTTTAATCTGTTTATGACATACAATGAAAAGGTGCATTAGACTAAGATAATAATGTGCAATTGTTACAGACTACTATCATGAATTGCAAATGATTATAATCAGAACAAATGTTTTATTATATACACTCCGATACTTAAAAGTTTAACATACGGTATAATATGCAAATAATCTGAATATGCCGGAAAGACAGATTGAAAATAGGAAATCAGAACGCTAGGTCTATGATGAACATTAAAGTATATAATGTACTTAACTTACTGTTGCCGCTTCCATTCGGTTATGGTTTATGCTGTTATTTCACTTCTGAATTTATTTATCGTTTCTGAAACAGAGAAAGGATATAAAATTTTCATTTTCTCAATGTAAAAAAAAAATGTACGCTAACATATTTCCTATTAACAAATGAGAAATTAAGTATATACAGTAACATTGTTATCTAATGGGGATTTACAAGAATATAACATAACAGATAATTTCTTTTACAGAGCTTTTAATTTGAGTATATACGAATATAGAAACCACATAATTGTAAAAAGTATTACTAAAATATGATAAACAAGATCAACAAGGAAAGGCGGCGTTCAATGAACGCAACCCCCACATGACCCAGCAACAAGAACCAATGGCAAGGAGCCCAGGGGGACCCCAAACAAAAACAGGACAGGGCAAAGACAGAGCACGGACAGGTTAATCATTAAATGATAATTAATTTGTAATAAGTTGGCCTAAAAGCAAGGCTAGACATCCAATTAAAGATAACAAAGACAACGGAACTATTAATTGTTATTTTACTTTAGATAATTCTTAAACTTAAGCTTCAAATTCTCCGCATAAAAATGGTATTTAAATATAAAAAAATTAATATTAAATGTTTTGTTATCTCAATATGAACAAGAATGCCGAACGACACATATACCCCCCTTTCTAGCCATTGACTCACATAATTGGTAATTTTATTATAGAAACTTGCCAAAAATGAGTACATGGAAGTGTTCAATTATGGAAAAATCAACGAAAACCATTTTGACATTTAAGGCCCCTGTGACTTTGACCTTTGACCTAGTGACCCCAAAGTCAATAGGGGTCATCTACTAGTTATGACCAATCACTATGTGAAATATGAAGATTTTGTGATACACACTTTGTAAGATAATCAGCGGAAACCATTTTGACATTTAAGGCCCCTGTGACCTTGACCTTTGACCTAGTGACCCCAAAATTGATAGACGTCATCTATTAGTGATGACCAATCACTATGTGAAATATGAAGACTTTGTGAAACATACATTTCAAGATAATCAGCGGAAACCATTTTGACATTTAAGGCCCCTGTGACCTTGACCTTTGACCTAGTGACCCCAAAATCAAAAGGGGTCCTCTACTTGTGATGACCAATCACTATGTGAAATATGAAGACATTGTGATACATACTTTTCAAGATAATCAGCGGAAACCATTTTGATATTTAAGGCCCCTGTGACATTGACCTTTGATCTAGTGACCCCAACATCAAAAGGTGTCATCTACTAGTGATGACCAATCTTTGTGTGAAATATGAAGACTTTGTGATACATAATTTTGAAGATAATCAGCGGAAATTGTTTTGACATTTAAGGTCCCTGTGACCTTGACCTTTAACCTAGTGACCCCAAAATCAACAGGGGTCATCTACTAGTAATGACCAATCACTATGTGAAATATGAAGACTTTGTGATAAATACTTTTCAAGACAATCAGCAGAAACCATTTTGACATTTTAAGGTCCCTTTGACTTTGACCTTTGACCTAGTGACCCCAAAATCAATAGGGATCATCTACTAGTCATGACCAACCACTATGTGAAATATGAAGACTTTGTAATACATACTTTTCAAGATAATCAGCGGAAACCATTTTGACATTTAAGGTCCCTGTGACCTTGACCTTTGACCTAGTGACCCCAAAATCAATAGGGGTCATTTACTAGTTATGTCCAGTCACTGTGTGAAATATGAAGACTTTGTGATACATACTTTTCAAGATAATCAGCGGAAACCATTTTGACATTTAAGGTCCCTGTGACCTTGACCTTTGACCTAGTGACCCCAAAGTCAATAGGGGTCATCTACTAGTTATGACCAATCACTATGTGAAATATGAAGACTTTGTGATAAATACTTTTCGAAATAATCAGCGGAAACCATGTGGTCTACCGACGGACAGACCGACAGACCGACGGACCGACAGACAGACTGACAGACAGACCGACATTAGCAAAACAATATACCCTCTCTTCTTCGAAAGGGGGCATAATAAATTAATTTAATTTAATTAAACAACTGTTGTCCAGCTTTGCGGGCATAATGACACTATAGGAAACGTACGATCACTGTAAAATTTAATTCCTGCTTACTCTATCATTTGCTCTTATCAACCGTGACTATCCATTTAATAGTTTTTAAGTGTTAAAACTGACACACAAAATTAAATAAAATCAATATGTAAGAAACACACACACAGTGTGCGATTAAAACTACTCTCTCACAAATTGTAGTTTGAATTTTAAATTGTGTAAAAACCGCTTTAATTTAAAGAATGTTAGATGCCTATTACATGAAAAAGTAGCGACTCATATGAAAGATTTTGTTATGAAAGTACCAAAGTAAACAAAGTAGTACTTCCATTAAAAATGCTTATTCACTTAAAGTGACTTATTGCCCAAGGTAACAGATAAGAAAGATGATTAAGGTAAATAATTGGCCAATGAGTGACTTTTTCGGTTACTATAAAAGTATACCAAAATTAAAAAGCTTTAAGAAATAAACTAGTTACATTACTAAAGCATAATGGGCCTTTCAATTTAAAAGTGTAGCATCATCCTTAGAGACGATGAACACCTAACATACATGTATTTACTAAAGTTTGTACACGATATCTTCAATAATTTTTAGCATAAATGACACGACTGACACTTGTTTTGAAGACGGTAACCTGATATCTTAAATGTTTACAAACCACCTTTATATATTAAGGAATAATGAGACACCTGATCACAATTGCTGTATTACTTTGTAGAATTTAATCTATTATAAGAAAGTTAAAAAAGATGAATCCACAATATGTGACAGGTGAAACAATTGGGTAATATGAAGTTTATGATTATTGGCATGCTCATTTCACATGGCTACATGTACTAGCTAATTAGTATTCTAGAAGTCCATACTAATTTGCATGTAAAGTGCATATAATATCATGTTAACTATTAAACTCAAAATCAAATATTACAGACAGTAGTGAACTAGAATTTATTGCTTTAGGCAATCATTTAATATATTATAGCCCTCATGTAACAAAACCATTTAAGAGTTTCAGAAGAAACTACATAATAGCAGAATATTTTTTATTCCTTTGTATGTTTATCATACTGAGTGTACAATCGTGGACAAAGGGAGATCCTTTAAAAACAATGAAAACAAAACAATAATATGAGACAAAAATCGGTTTAAGCCTGTTCCTGGGGGACGACGGAGAAATATAACATCCCTTGTGCCCCTTAGTTACGATCTAAAAGGTATTTGAATTTTATTGTTAAATGTATCTGAATCAATGAACCTAAGTACAAGGAAATTGAACACTGAAATGAGATATGGGGAAATAAACTTTCCGAAACAAATAATATCAACAATATGTAAGAAGACTCAGTAACAATAACAAGAAAGTCA